TCTTTCTTTCTTTCTTTCTTTCTTTCTTTCTTTCTTTCTTTCTTTCTTTCTTTCTCTAACAGTGTTGCTACTGAAGTGGCTTATTGGAGTTTGAAATTAGAAGTCACTTGGCTAAACTCAAATAGAAATTATTTCCATAATTTAGGACATTTTTTGTGATCATTAATGTAATAAGCTACCCAATGTCTAAATGAATTATCTGAGTTTTAATATGATGTACTGAAATGATCTGGACATACACAAATACTACATTGCACGTGATAACTAGATTCCCAATTTGGTGGTGTTTTTTTGTTTTTTTTTAATGAGCAAACAATTCAGAGCCATCATCAGGAGTGTAAGGTTAGCATGCTTAGGCAAATGTCAGGCTCTTGGGGATATATGCTATTGATTGCAAATTTACTGTGACAGAGCAGCAATTTCTGCTGCTTGCCTTCTTTTTCTAGATAATTGTGGGATTTTATCTTTGTGGAAAGGCTTCCTCAACTCATTGCAACTTGTTTCTATTCCTCCTTCCCTTCTGGATAGAGATAGAAGAACAGGGAGCAATAGTTGCGGCCCCATTGTAATCAAAAGCTCCTTGCCTTCTAAAATTGTACAGGTGATGAGAAGGAAGAATTATTGTGGGGAACTCTAGAATGCATAAGGCACAGATCTCCTCAGATTAATCTTTACTATGGCCTTGCAGCCAGAAGACTGCTCAATGTCTTACACTTTGAGCTGGGCTTGGTTTGGCTGTATCCATTGTAGAATTTTGCCATTTATCCCCATGCTGAGAAATTATTTTTAGATTTTTCCAAGAATTTGGAGAGAACTAATAACTTTTCAAGAATTTGGAGAGAGCCAATAATGAAGGTTTTATATGTTTCATAAACTGTAGAAAATGAGCTGTCTCATTTGACATATTTTTATTGTTTTCCCATAGAAAATATCCATCAACTAACAAAAGTGAGATTCGTTATAGTAAATATCTAGTGTACAGTATTACTAGATATATCTAGTAAATATATAGTCTACAATAATGCAAATAGTAATCATAAGGGAGAATTGATCATTCAGCTAGAATGATCAATTCTCCCTTATGAATTACTATTCTGCATCTATTTCTAACCTTCCCTGCCAATGTTGTAGGATCTTCTACCGTCAGCAACTTAGCCTGTGTTGTACATACCCACTTTCTTTTCAGTTTTTGACTTAGATTAAGCAGGCTTTTGAAACACCATGGCATCCTGCAAACTCTGTGAATAGGAGTGGTAGTAAGAGTAGCATAGCAAGGCTTCTGTCATACCGTCTTCAGCTGTCTGAATAATTACTGTTCTTTCCAGTCTTCTCCCACCCCTCCTCCCAAAAGAAAGAATACCTAAGAAGCATTCTTGCTCCAAGGACAAGGGGCTACTCATACCATCTCAAAAGGAGAAAATACATGTGGTGCACACTGCCCTCAGCTGGTTTGTCTCTTTCAACGCATAACAAAGCTTGTTATCATTCACTATGCTCAACAACAGAGGCAAAATCAAAAAGGCCTTGAAATAATCCTGTAAGAGATTAATTTCAGTCTCTTCATAAAATTGTTGTATGATCAAGGCATCTACAAATCATGGTATTCCTTAGAAAACACAATAAGTGGTACTTCTAATTGACCCTTTTAGCATAGTGGTGCAATTTGTACCTGCAGTAAATTACTACATTCAATGTTAGGAGGAAAAAAATGAACCTTGGTATAAGATTTTCAAGCAGCATTTGGCAAAATTTAGAGACCTTGACAGAATGCTCTAACCACCCTTCCCCTCCTGTAAATAGCATAAAATATTTAAAAATTGCAGATAGTCTCTCTTTTTAAACCTCTGTGTACTTTAATGAATGATTGAATTTGAAGCAAACCAAAAAAAAGTTATCTTTCTCTCCCAGTTCTTCTTGCTAGAATACAATTTCTGTCACCATAAAAGAATACAACTGAGCAATTTTTGCTCAGTTATTGCAAGGATGCATTATTCAAACATAAAATACCATTTTTATGTGAGAAATAAATGCAAACGATCAAACAAATTAATCCCCTCCCAAAGGGTTTGTATGGAACAGACTATGTCCCATTTAATGGAATATGTGCAAAGCTGGGATTTTAGAAAAATTGCAAGTAGAACCTTTAATAGTTCCAAAGCTCTGGAGATGGAATGTAACAAAGAACCAATAATATAGCAGATTGTAGGGTTTGGTGTGAAAAACCAAAGTCTAAATTAACATGGAAGAGAAATAAAGCTTTCTAAACTCTAAGAACAATTATTAAGAGCACTATACAAATGCTAGATAAACCACTTGTGAGATATATATCTATACATCTATACATCTATTTTTCTATCTACTCATGTTACAAGTATTTTCTCCAACTCAACAGAGCAGCCCTGGATTAACCATTAAGTAAAATAAGCACATGCTTAGGGCACCAAAGGAAGGGGGGCACCACAGAGTTCCCCCCCCAGCTATTATGCCCTTAACTCTTTCACTGCCACACTCAAGTCAATGTTTTTGTAGTTGTCCTTATCTTCCATATTTGAGTTTAATTTGCATTCTTAATTTTTTTTCCCCTTTGGCATGGTGAGTGACTGAAGTTTAAAAATTTAGTTTGAAGGTATCATCAGATACCACATTTGTTTCCTTCCCATGGCTTCCATCAAGGGGCATTATTTTGGGGCTGTGTTTAGGGCATCAATTGGCCTTAATCCTGGCCTGCAGCAGAGTGATTGTACAGACAGCCTCAAATGAAACTGACCATGAAATGTGAAAT